TTACGTATGCACAAATAGAATTACATTGAGTTATACAGGAATCAGGAATTGTTATATACATTGTATGATATTAAACAATAACAAAAGGTAAACTGTTATTCAATATGTTGACAGTCGAATGTATTGGACTAACTGGAATGATGAAAGTCCAAGTATCATGAAAGCCTTCCAAGGTGGATTTGATATGCACTCCATCATTGACACTGATATCCAAACACCCAATGGATTGACCATAGATCACAAGGCAGCCAGATTGTACTGGTCAGATGCACGATTGGATAAATTGGAAAGATGCAAATTGGACGGGACTGAAAGAGTGGTGAGTAATTAATCCAGTTTACAAATAACATCACTAGGGGATGATCTCATATTCAAACATTTGGCTCAAACCTGGATTAACCCACACCACCCCACACCACCCTAAACCACCTGAATAAAACCCAATTTTCGTGGTTTCAAAGTCTTGACAATATGAATTTGCATAAAAACAGGGCTTCAAACCACTCTCATTCACACCCTCCAAGCTGTTGTTTATTTTTAGGGTTCAGATCGTCTCTAAAGCATTACGAAATATGATTTTATTTTTATGAGGATGTTTGAAAATAGAATTAAGTGAACAAATAGTAGATAGCGACAAATTCATAATTGTGAAATTGGATAGTGTCCGCAATAATTCACATCCTCAAAAAACCACAGCGTCATTGTCATCTGTATTTGATTTATTTCATGCACGGAAAGGTCATTCTGCGTTAGAGTCAGTTCTGTTTTTAGCGTAACTTATAATCTTGACAAGCACAATGTTTTGTTTTGCGCCATGGGACACATACATAGTCCCATGAAATGTAAGGTTTCTGGACGTAATGTAACGTTTGTCCTCTATTTCTGATAGTACGTAGCACATACAGTCACTTAAATGACATAGACATGTCTAGAATCAAACTATGTACTAGTACTTGTAATGTTCTTAAAGAATAATTATGAGACAGTTTAACTGAGGGAAAGGACTGGTTTGTTTATTTAACCAACTGATGACTGAACCTGGTTGCTAGGCGCTACTGAGCATGCCCGCAAAATTAATTACAAGACAAGACTAGGCCAAAGGTCACAATAATACAGAAGTAGAATACTACAGTACTATTTTAATGAGCCAACAAACACGGCATGTAATGACAGCACTTGAGTTGAATATTGTCATTCAATAACTAACATTTAAAAGTAATTTCATTCATTTCAGGTAATTGTCAGTGGAGAACCTGTGCATTCATTTGGGTTAGCAGTGTATGGTAATTATCTATACTGGACTGACTGGGTACGACGTGCTGTAATTCGAGTCAACAAGTATACTGGTGAAGAAGTTCTTGTACTTCGTGGCAACATCGCGCAACAACCGATGGGTATTGTCGCTGTTGCTAACGACACAGAAGATTGTAAGTTTGTATTTGTTTTTTGTTTTTTGTGTGTACATTTAAAGCTTTCAACATAATGCATGCAAGGTATTTCCATGTTTTCAAAGATAAGGAAACACATAAAAGGAAAAAATTGTAAATTGATATATGATCTATTCATGTTTAAAATTACTGAAAAAAAAAGTTTGGTTTTGATCTTCTGACAGCAAAAACAGTTTCTATGGATTTGTTGTCAGGGTTGTTGTTAACTATACAGTGATTGGTGAAGCTGTGATTACATTTACTAGGTCTTAAAACATTTTGCTTTCTTTTTTTCTAGGTGATGCCAATAAGTGTCGACAGTTGAATGGAGGATGCGATTCTAATGGAGTGTGTGATATCGATGCACGTGGAGAAGTTCATTGTACTTGTCCAACTGGTTTTCAAATTGTTGACGGCACACGCTGTGTCGATGCTGGGTTCAACTGTACCAACCTAGAGTTCAAGTGTAATGATGGTGCTTGCATTCCTTATGAATTCACATGTGATAGAATTGAAGAATGTGATGATGGAAGTGACGAAGATCAAACTTACTGTGGTAGGTTGCTATGGTTACAAATGAGATGGATGATATCTTTTGCATCTGGAGATAAAATAATAATATGAATGTGAATGTTGTTAGTTATCATTGTGTGTTTCTATTTCTCTTCAGCAACACGTAGTTGCCGTAGTAACTACTTTTCCTGTGACAACGGGCGGTGCATCTTAGAAAATTTCAAATGTGATGGCGCAAACCATTGTGGTGATGGTAGTGATGAACATGACTGTGGTATGTACAATGTGTAGATCTGTACAAATGGATGAGTTATTTGAGTGTAGTCATTTGTATAATTTTATGGCATCCCGTATTGTATTTCCATTGCACTTCCTGATTCTTGAATTACCAACAGACGTGATGTACTTGCATATATGTAACCCACCTATCATGCGTGAGGGTTGAATGAAAATATAAATGCTCAGAAGAACAATCGACAAACAACCCCGGAAGAAGACAGAGGCATATTTGAAATAGTTTTTAAATTATAGCGAAGTGAATGTGGGTGGGTACAAAAGGGGGCAGCTAAAAGAACTATACAAGACAGCTGAGAATTACCAGTTGAAACATGTGTTTTACTGAGTAAATATGACCGTGACAGTTTTTCAACCCCCCCCCCCCCCCCAAAAAAAATACCCAAGAAAATATTTTACTATAGCCAAAGATAATTTGCATGTTCATTTTTCAAATGCTATTAATTTGAGAATCAGGAATTGAGATGAGGATCTCACTGTGGAGTTTACAAAGATGGCATTAATGTTACACATACACTGGGAAAGCAAATACTGATTAATCTTTTTAATTCTATTTTGCAAACAAACTGTTGGCAGAAATCGTTTAGGATTTCCTCTGCCAGATTTATTACTTTAGAATATTAAAGCATCCTTTTGATGTCCTCATTTCTACAAAACCATAAAATGAGTATTTATTGATTTATCTACTTCTACATGTATTGTCACATATTTCAATCATAATCAGGATTACTATGTTTATTACTGGTCCATTATTGATGTTTGGATTTTACTCTCACATAATTACATATGTGTGTGAAAGTGAAGGCATGCAATATTAAAATAAGTTTTAGATCTCTTTCATAGATCTTATTTATTTGATCATTACTTGGCAGTTTTTTTAGTTCCTACTCAGACATAGTTTAAAAAGGGGAATGAATTTGTCTGTTCAGCCGTTTCAACCTGTTTACCGGTACTACTGTTTACTATAGAACAGGGATTCTGTCATGTAATGATACCTGTACAATATTCATCCTGTAAAATATGTAGTTGCTTGGTTCAACTTTATGTATACATAAGAGAGTTAAATCACAAGTTGTGAATTAACCATCATCTGAATATTTAGTGCACCCAAAACATAAATTTTCTTACATTTACTATTTCAGTTGCCGCTGTCTGTGGAGATGGTGAGTTCCAATGTGGTAATGATAAGTGTATTAGTATGGAATTCCGCTGTGACCAAGATTTGGACTGTCAGGACGCATCTGATGAAATTGGTTGCGGTATGTATCAGTGAACAATAATATTATCTGGTAACTTCCTTGATCACTTGTGCAGCAAGATAATGTTGTACTAAAGTAAATTATTTTTTGGATATGAATTGACTGAATTTATGTGTTTTTGATTCCATGATTTGGTCAATAAGTTAATGACTGTGGGAAACCCAGGAAATAAAGTTTTAAATGTTTGACATAATGTTGAATTCCATGACTGCAGATCCTGTTGACTGCGCCGCATACCGCCCAAGAGGCTTCACGATCCCAATTGGTCAGCTGATACCGACTTACATCAATTGTAAACGTACAACACAGTGTATTTTACCAGAATGGCGATGTGATGGTGAAGATGACTGTGGTGATAGCTCGGACGAAGAAGGATGTGGTTGTAAGATAATTGACTTTTAACTTTTAACCCTTTGAATGGCAAAGTCCGCTTTTTTTTTCTTTTCACAAAAAATGAATTTGCATTATTATTTTTTAACATGTACCTGTAGCCAGTTAAGTCCATCTGGGGCAAAATTGAAAAAAAAATTATAAAAAAAAACGAGCTATTCAAGTATCTAGTTAAGTTACACATGTATTTTTATTTCTCTATTACCCAATTTATTCTAATTTATAGTTTGTTAGAAGATAGTCGCTAGGGGGCACTAGACATGCTAGAAGGCACTGTTCATTTTTTAATGACCAGTTCAATATCTTGATCTCATTTATTCACAGCTGCAGGGCCTTCATTGTTGACTTGTCCCCCTCTGTATTTCCGTTGTGATAGTGGCCGATGTGTACCCCCATCATGGGAATGTGATGGGGATGATGATTGTGGAGACGGTTCTGACGAACACCACGATTGTAATTTTGCATGTGGTGAGGACCAGTATACCTGTGACAATCAAAAATGTATCCCAAATCGGTGGATCTGTGATAACGATGATGACTGTGGTGATAACTCTGATGAAGATGGTTCGAAACACAATTGTACACAAGTCACGTGTGATGCCGAACACTTCCGATGTGTTGAAGCACGACGTTGTATCCCATCTGCGTGGGTTTGTGATGGAGACAATGATTGTGGGGATGCTTCTGATGAACATCCTGATACTGGATGTCGTAAGTTTCTCATATTTTCTTAGTTGTTGCTATGGCTGCAATGTTCAGATGAGATGTCCCTCACCTTATTGTTTCATTGGTTCTCATTCTCATATCACAGCTGTCAATAGTTCGCCTTAATTACAGAATTGTTGTATTTACAAACATGTCAGATTGAGATGTGAGTAAATTATGTAGCAATCATCACACTAACTTATTAAATATTTCTAAAAAATATACCATATTTGGTCTATTAAAAGAACATCTTCACTAGAAGTACATGTAAGCCAACAGTTGCATTTATTGTATACCTTTTGACACCTCTGCTATTCACATATTAAGTGCATGCGTTACTAATGGAGCAAATACATTGTAAAACAAACTATATTTAATAATAGAACATCAGTCAATTCATAAACTTGTCACATATGTATAGGGCAATTGCCAATGAAGGGAGTAGACCATTCATGATTACATCTACAACATACATTTAATTATTTAAATTTTTCTTTTAATAGATTCGCGTCTTTGTGAAGATGGTGAACACCAATGTTCAAATGGAAGATGTATTTCTGAATCGTGGGTATGTGATCATGACGATGACTGTGGTGACTCTTCTGATGAGCCCCGTACATGTGTCTTCCCAGATTGTGATTCAAACCAGTTTCGTTGTGCTAACAGTCGTTGTATTCCAAGCCAGTGGCAGTGTGATGGCGATAATGATTGTCATGATTTCTCAGATGAGGCTGATACCAACCCAAACTGTAGTAAGTATATATGGTGCTAGTTTCTATTCTTCATTGCTTATTGATTGTGAAATGTAATTAAAATTTGCAGTCAATATACATAAAACCTTTGAATGTTAATGTAAATTTTTGTCACCTTCCTCAAGATACCCAATAATTTTCACCGTATTATTTTAACGTTTTGATGAAGTTTTGTAGCCAATGAGTATGTTCAAATCAAAATTTATTTAACTGTGTGAAATGTTGCAGCACAATTGGTGGAAACTAAATACTAAGGTACAAGAGAACTTGTGTGGAAACTGCCAGCTGATGCCGGAATAAGGGATTTGACCTAATATTATTAGTGTCTGTTTAGTACTACATGTAATTAAAGGTACATGACTAAAAAAGATGAACTTGTGTAGTTACAATTGTTTTTTGATGTTTTATAGAAACATCTGATTGTTCTGATGACGAGTACCGTTGTTCTGATGGACAGTGTATTGCTGAACATCAAGTCTGTAATGGTGCGAATGACTGTGACTCTGACGAACTCCATTGTGGCATCAATGAATGTGCTCATGATAATGGTGGCTGCAGTCATATATGTGATGACAGAATTTCTGGGTATAAATGTTTATGTCCTGAAGGGTACAGCTTAGATAAAGATGGGATAACATGTAAAGGTATGTATTTTGATTGGATGAGCTTCCTCATGTGATTTATATTGTTTCTTCTGATTGGTCAATCATGGTCATATTATGTATTGCCTGCTTTGAATGTACTATCTCTATTGATTCAATGAACTTTAATCACTCCATTATGCCTGATTGGTTGATTGTAGTCACATGACTGTAGTCAACCAATCATGGCCCAGTTATTGGTGATTTTGGTCACAATTCTAAATTATTATCGCTGATGCCATGATGCTGATGTATTTTGTTTGTTTGTTTGTTAGTTTATATATATATTTACATCAAGGCATTACAGTTCATAATATTTCACAATTTTTTTGCATTTTTGCAGATTTTAATGAGTGTGAAAACGTCACTTTACCGTGCAGCCAACTTTGTCACAACGATATTGGAAGTTTTCGTTGTTATTGTACTCATGGTTATGAGTTAGAACCAAATGGTCACACCTGTAAGCATGCAACCAATGAGGAACCTTTTCTGTTATTCTCCAATCGTTACTACATCAGGAAACTTGGACTTTACCGACCAGGCCAGGATTACGACTTTGTTTTACAAGATTTGATTAATGCTGTGGCATTGGACTTTGACGTACAGGAAGGATATGTTTATTGGTCTGACGTGACTGGCCAACGTAGTAATATCAGTCGTGCAAAAATTGATGATGAGAAACATAAAGTTCAGGTAAAATAAAAAAAAGACAAAGTTTATAATATGAACTTGGAGGATTACCTCATACAAGTAATCTCTGAATGATACCTGTTCTGGAAATTTTAGCTTAAATGACCACTGGAATTTGCTATTATGTCCCCTGAAGGTCGTGCGTCCTGGTAGTTCAAGGTTATAACCACTGATGGTCACACATCTAGTACTGTAACAGTGCCAGCAGTAGTCATCAAAGTTCAAAACAAAATTTTTTAATAATTTATATAATTTGAAATTACTGCTGTTAAGGTAGAGATGCAGTTTACCTGACAGGTATTTTAATTAGTTAATTAGGAAACCAAGATGACCTCCCTTGTCCACAAAACTATATATTTTCGGAAAGCTTATTGTATGAATTTTAATATGAATATGGACACTGTAGTTTGAAATATGCACAAAAATGTGCTTTTTTGGTCAAAAGTGATTTTAAAAAAATTAGCTCCTAAACCATGCTTCTGTTTCCTGTCAAAATTGGCTTATGGGTACATCTGTTTACTATGAAGAAAGCGCCATTGTCAATTTTGCAGGGCAGCAGCCCAAATTTCACTACTTCAAGTTTATGCATAAATTAACACCCAGGCTAGTTGTCTGTACGATTGTTGTAACACTGTACAACCAAAAACAATGCCCCAACGGCGTTTTGAAGATAAACACATTGTCAATCATTTGTGAAAATTTCAAAACAAAAGGTCAAAGCGTCTAGGAGCTATTTTTTAGTCCCCGTTCGGACGCAGTGTGCGTGCATGTGTGCGTCCGTGCGTGGGTCCGGACCTGTATCTTAGAAATGCCTGGACCAATCACAATCAAACTTAACACATACATCATACATGATATTACCGTAAAAACTCCAAAATTTCGACCCCTCTAAAAATTCGGACGCCTGGTTATTTTCCGGGTTTCGGTATTTTATTTACCTCCAAATTTTTCGACTTCATTGAAAATTGACGACTCATTCTTATTCAAATATTGCGACCAGTTTTGGTTTTCCCCAAAACGAAAAAAACAAAACAATGTGAGCGTTCAAACGGGACTTTCCCGTTTCTGACTGACTGAGAAATTTTTTTTTATTGGTAACGAAAATATATTCTAAAGAAACGAAGTTTCAAATAAAAACAAACACAAAAATCTCGGCATGCTGCGTTTCTGAATTGTTGATTATTACTCAGTAGTGATTATAATAATGTACACAAAATAAATTCGTTGAATTGTTATGAAATACAAATAAAAGTCAACTTAGTTTCGTCGTAAGCGAATGATTCCGGTCTCGTATAAATGTTTGATGCTGTAGGATATCCGCCATGTTCTCTTAGGTCAAATCGCTAATTAACCAATCAAAAAGCTGGATGATGCAAACGTGTTCAAATTATCATAGCTTATTTAAATATGTTAATGTTACACAAAATACACCTTAAAAGTCCCATTTTATTTTCTTAAATCCCATTTTATTTTTTTAATCCAAGGGCGAAGTTATGGCAGAATCTGGTCCCTCAAATAAGGGACACGTGAGCTTTCTATTCTAACCGGATACATTGCACTGGGTCAGGGAGATAGTTTGCTAAACTTCCATGTATCTTTTGTCCAATGGGTACCTGTACTTCGAACATTCGCAAGTTTTCCTAGGTAGTGCGAGACAGCTTTGTCTTTTGACCTAATTTTGTGCTGACCTCTCCTCCGCGTCTTGATGTTTTGTTTTCCTTGTCATAATACTCACTGATTGATGACTTTGTTTTGATTTTGAGTTGTTTAGCGTACAACTCGGCCACGACCTAAGCTTTTACTGTGAAACATGGGGAAGTTTACGTCAATTGACGGACATTGCATTTTTTTTAAAAACTAACGAAGCACACTGTCTATCATCCCCATTTTTTCATTTGCTGATTTCTATTCTGAAAAATTCGACCGTCCGAAAATTTTGACTCTAAAAACACGTCACATTTCTAACACAAATTATTTAAAACCGGTCGAAATTTTGGAGTTTTTACAGTGTACATATGCACATCAATTTGTTTCACGATCTGATTCAAGATGGCCGAATGGCGGCCATTTTTATGCTAAAAATCATCAAAATCGAGCATTTCTCGGCTGTTTAGGAATGGATTTTATTCAAACTTGGTACATGTATATACATTAGACATTATAGGACCTTGATGCACATCATTTTGTTCCATGATCTGATTCAAGATGGCCGAATGGCAGCCATTTTTGTGCTAAAAAATCCTAAAAATAAAGCATTTCTCGGCTGTTTACAGATGGATTTTGTTCAAACTTGGTATATACATTAGACGTTATGGGACCTTGATGCAAATAATGTTGTTTTTCAGATAAGATTCAAAATGGCCGACTGGTGGCCATTTTGTTTTAATGAATGTGGCTCTTGTTCCATATCTCTGACTTGTTTTTTAAATTCTGGGATGTGCACTGAAAAGAAGCCGAGATAATTGCTAATTTGCATAACAATTCACTCAGTAAGAAGTTTGCTAATGCTCATAATTAAAATGGCTGTAACAGTTCCAAATTTAAATGTATTATCGTTTTGTTAAAAGTTAAATATAGTGCATAATATGCATAATATTTTTTTCATCATGTTTCTTTTTTATTATTTATGTACAGCCTTGCAAAATCTTTCTAAGCGTTCAAAGGAGAGAATGTTTGCACCTGTTATCTATATTTTAAAATCGTTTTATGAGTATGTTCCACTATTCACAATTCTACAAAATTTTAACAGTCTATAGCCAAGACTGTTTGGATAATAAAAAGCAAAAAACAAAAATTTCACTCTCAAGTGCCCACGAACCTGCATCTCTACCTTAAAGTGCAACCATGTCTCACAAAGTACCAGGATGTTCTACCTTACCTAAATGTATAAAGTACTATGAATTTAATAAACATATATTGCTCAATAACAGTTTATATTAGGACAACTGCTCATTATAGTATTTCAAGTATTTTTCTTGCCAATGTAATGAATTTAATTTTCTCTGATTTTTTTTGTTTTAAGAGGATACACACTCTAAATCTGCTAAATCCTGATGGTCTGGCAGTTGATTGGGTCGGACGCAACCTCTACTGGTGTGATAAGGGCAAAGACACTATTGAGGTCTCCAAACTGGATGGTCGTTTCAGAAAAGTGCTTATCAACAAAGAGTTGGATGAACCAAGAGCTTTAGCTTTAGATCCATTTAATGGGTGAGTCTTGAAATATATAATGAATTATTAAATATTGAGATGATAATCCTAGATTTGATGTGATTTTTACATGCATATTAATGTTGAGATAATGGAGCAAACTTCAATGTCCCACTTGGTATCTGGGTTGTCAATGTAGATTTTCACTGTTTAATTAATCCAGACCAGATATTTAATTTACTGTAGATTTTGACTTTTTACAAGATTATTGTAATGATTTGAGGCTATGACATTTAGTTTACTTATTTGCATAATGATATTAATACATTGTATGGAACATCTGGTATTTCGACTCAGTTCCAGGCATAGCAGTTGAGCAATAAACACCTTGGCTACAAGTGCTCCTCTCTAGTGCTCTTTTCTCCTCCCGGATTTGGTGACCAATACTCACTCTACCTTGAGAAGTCTATTCTCAGTTTACAATTATATACATAATATAATTTTATTTTGTTAATTTATTATTTGGTTGTTTGTTTGTTTTCCCATTACATGGAATGGTTTATTGTCTAAGTAACAACTATTGCTCTCACACTGTTTTCAGGTACATGTATTGGACTGATTGGGGGGCAAAGCCATACATTGGAAGAGCTGGTAAGTAGCATATAGATATTCATAATTACAAGTATTCATAGCAGCTATAAACTAAGATAAGGAAAAACAAGTTTACTTTATTGAAACTGCACTACCCATCTTTTTCAATTTGTATAGTTCTTGAAAATAGCATTTAGAGTACTTCCAAATTAAGTAGCCTTGTGTAATTACAACAAAATTTGATTTGGTGGTTAGACACCACAATCTTCAGGGCAGGTTGGTTTCAATGTACCAATATTTCAGGATTCAATGACAGACCAATTGATTATCATTTCTGATTGTTACAATGACCAGTGAAATATGTTCTGCATACCGGTGGTACAATGTCTTCAGAGGACATCTATTTCTGTTTCAGAGAATGCTCATGTTGATGCAAATCTTTAATGCATGTATTTAAAAGTGCATGTTTTAAAGTTGTATTTCCATTTTGTATCACCGGTATGCAGAACTTTTACTGATACTCACTGCATTTAACAGTATTGTTCATGTGCATTAGAAATGGTATGATTTCAATTAACACTAAAAGTTGTTACCCCTTGCCAAGTAATCAGCTTGTCAAAAATTAAAACTGAGTGCAAAATGTTTTTGAAATTGAATGATGCTTATCTATTATTAATATTTTATTTCAATGCACAGTGAATACATATATAAAATTAGGAATGGAATATTTTCATCCATCTTACAACAATGATTACCTATTTGTAATTGATTCTTATAATTTGTTTTGTAAATTACAAGTGTACATTATTAGGTAAAATAATATTTGATTGATTGATGATTTGGATTTGTTTTGATATAAAATTAATATTATTATGTCAGGCATGGATGGAAGTGATGTTACGCGTTTGGTCACTGAAAAACTTGGCTGGCCGAATGGTTTGACAATAGACTATGGATCCCAGCGGATTTACTGGGCAGATGCCAGGGAGGATTATATTGAGTCTATTAATATGAACGGTACTGGCAGGTAAGTCAGTATTTCACACGCCTTATTTAAATTGTATCATTTAAGAACTAGTGATATGCCTGCACTGATGTTATTCAATGTTGGTACAAGTCATAATAGGAAACCTATGCACATTGATTAGTTTTTGACTCCCATGTGCGAAGCACAAAATGGGAGTCTTTGCAGTTAGTGTGTCTGTATGTGTGTGTGTGTGTGTGTATGTGTGTATGTGTGTCCGACTGTTCCACTGCTATCTCAAGAACCATACATCGGTTTTTGATGAAACTTGGTGCATAGATGCTCTGGGCCAATGCGCAGATTTGATTAGGTTTTGGTAAAAATCCATGCTCGTTAATTACCTAATTTGCATGATAATTAGCTATTTTTAGCTGTTCTATGACTGTTCCACTGATATCTAAAGAACCACTCATTGGATTTTGATGAAACTTGGTACATAGATGCTCTGGACTAATGCTAGATTTTGATTAGGTTTTGGTTAAAATCCATGCTCGTTAATTACCTAATTTGCATGATAATTAGCTAATTTTTAGCTGTTCTATGACTGTTCCATTGATATCTAAAGAACCACTCATTGGATTTTGATGAAACTTGGTACATAGATGCTCTGAACAAATGCGCAGATTTGATTAGTTTTTGGTAAAAATCCGTGCATATTAATTACCTAATTTGCATGATAATTAGCTATTTTTTAGTGGTTCCATGACTGTTCCACTGATATCTAAACAACCACTCATTGGATTTTGATGAAACTTGGTACATAGATTTTCTGAACTAATGCTAGGTTTTGATTAGTTTTTGGTAATAATCCGTGGATACTAATTACCTAATTTGCATAATGATTAGTCAATTTTCGGTTTTCATTGTGAAATAGGGAAGGGGATAGGCAAACACACACACAACCAAACAGACAGTATTATTATGATGTATCATTGCATTATTTATTCTGTAAAA